AGGTCATCTAGTCCAACCCCCTGCTCAGGCAGGAAACCCTATACCATTTTGGACAAATGGCTGTCCAGTCTCTTCTTAAAAACTTCCAGTGTTGGAGCATTCACCGCTTCTGGAGGCAGGTTGTTCCACTGGTTAATTGTTCTGTCAGGAAGTTTCTCCTTAGTTCTAGGTTGCTTCTCTCTTTGGTTAGTTTCCACCCATTGCTTCTTGTCCTGCCTTCAGGCGCTTTGGAATGAGATGGATAGGATAGGATAGGATAGAACTGGGAATGGAATAGAATGGAATGGAATAATAACTTTATTGTCACTTTAAATGTTCACCAATCAGCATACATTAAAATGAGATTATTCAGCTTTTAAAAACATGAATTAGACGTTCCCTGAAATTGAGCCAGTCCTAAAACAAATCCCGGGTTAGCGCGTGGTGGCCGTGCAAGGGGAAGCCACTAAACGGTGATCTCCTGCAAAGAGGCTCCCCCTTCTCTCTCCCCCCGCCTCCAAATCCAGGACAACCTGCACCAATGAGCCCGGAGGACCCCACGCCAGCACGGTCAAGGGGGAAAAAAAATCCCAGCCCCGAACGTGCACCTTCTAGGAAGCAGCACTCTCTCTCTTTAACCCTTCCTTGGAGGACCAGGGGAGGCTGGCCGGGGAGTTTGCGTTGCTCTCCAGCTCCGAAGAGCTCGGATCCTTGGCTGCGCGCCTGGCTTTGGAGATTGGAGGCTTTGTCGCGTTTGCCGGGGTAAGGCTGGAGTTTGCGCTCCGTTTTCCCTCTTGATGTCACGCGAAGAAGCTTTCCTTCTGCAAAGCCGCTTTTGCAATTGCTTGCAAGGTTGGAGGCATTCGCCCTTGCAGCCTTAGAGCAAAAGGTAGGGGAGGGCGGCGGGGGGGGGGCGAGCGGATGCTTTTCTCCTGGAAAACCCGGGCAGCAAAGGCGGGGGCGGGGATGGTGGTGGAGGTAGGCAAGGAGATAAGATAAGGCAACCCTTATTGACTTTTTTTTTAATAGGAACACACTGGCCAACATTAAAAATGAAATTCTGTTGCCTGCTCTCAATAGAAAGTCTGTCTGTCTGTCTGTCTGTCTGTCTATCTATCTATCTATCTATCTATCTATCTATCTATCTATCTATCTATCTATCTATCTATCTATATCTGTCCGTCTATCTGTCTATGTATCATGTGTATATATGTGTTATATATGGGTATGGGTCTCCTTCATGGATTACTGCCTTGTCCTGGCGAACGGGCTTGCGTAACTCAATGAAGCTATGAGCTATGCAATGTTTCCCAATTGCAATGTATAGCTGTGAAAGTTGGACCATAAGAAAAGCTGAGCACCAAAGAATTGAGGCCTTTGAACTCTGGTGCTGGAGAAGACTCCTATGAGTCCCTTGGACTGCAAGGCGTTCAAATCGGTCAGTCCTAGAAAAGATCAACCCCGACTGCTCTTTAGAAGGCCAGATCCTGAAGTTGAAACTCAAGCACTTTGGCCACCTAATGAGAAGGAGGGACTCACTGGAGAAGAGCCTAATGCTGGGAAAGATTGAGGGCAATAGAAGAATGGGACAACAGAGAATGAGGTGGCTGGATGGAGTCACCTCATGGATGGCGTGAGCTTAAATGGACTCCAGAAGATGGTAGAGGACAGGAAGGCCTGCAGGAACGTTGTTCATGGGGTCATGATGGGTCGGACACGACTTCACAACTAACAATAACAATGGGTATGGGTATGGATATGGGTATGTGTGTGTGTGTGTGTGTAGGTTCTCTGTGTATATGTGTGTGTGTACATAGAACTAGAACTAAGGAGAAACTAAGGAGAAACAGTGAGAACAATTAACCAGTGGAACAACCTGCCTCCAGAAGCGGTGAATGCTCCAACACTGGAAGTTTTTAAGAAGAGACTGGACAGCCATTTGTCCGAAATGGTATAGGGTTTCCTGCCTGAGCAGGGGGTTGGACTAGATGACCTTCAAGGTCCCTTCCAACTTTACTATTATTATTATTATTATATACACTTGGAATACTGCATCCAGTTTTGGTCACCACGATGTAAAAAAGATGTTGAGACTCTAGAAAGAGTACAC